TGAACTTGCACAGCCAAGTCCCTCCATTTTTGTGCGTAATGCCTGAAACTCTCGTTATGCTTCTTTTCCATGTTTTGTAGCATAACTCGATCTGGCCTTATGTCATTGTTATGCTTGTATTGTTCTAGAAATGACTTGGTCAGGTCCTTCCATGTCTTGATATTTGATCGGCTGAGCTGGTTGTACCACCGAATGGCTGAGCCCGACAGACTATCCTGAAAACAGTGGATCAGGAGTTGGTCGTTTCCTCCATATCCTGTCATCTTTCGGCAGAACATGGTGATGTGAGCGGATGGGCAACTGTTCCCGTCAAACTTCTCGAACTCCGGGGACTTAAATTTCGGGGGAAGAACCAAGTCCGAGACTAGACTTAGTTCCGCTGCATCGATTTCATGGTAGTCACGGTCTCCTTTGACTATATTCATTTGCTCCTCCAATTGTTTGATTTTTTTCTCCATCTTCTTCGCTTTGTTATCTTTGTCCAAATCCGGTACATGGTAATAACCCGGATTGTTCTTAGGGTTAAATACAGAGGACGAGGGCTTTGCTTTTGCCGCAGATGAGTCCCCTCGAAGTTCTGGTAAGATTTCAGGTGAGATAACCACTTGTGGGGTAGGTTGTATAGTTACCCCTTCCGATGAACCTGCCCCAGGCACACTGGTCTGTTGTAGGCCAACTAACTTGGCAACGATCTGATCAACCAATGACTCTTGGTTCTTTGTGATTGTTTCTAGAGTATTTCGACTATTTTGGTTTATCTTATCTTCTAGCTCTTTCTGTAGTTTCAACATATTCTCCTCGATTTATGTAATTCTGGCTTCCATCCTCTTCTTCTTCAAACGAGTGTTATGCGGATGGGGTGTGTCCAATGCTTGAGGCGGTGTATCCAGTATTTGCTCCTTTTGATGAGACATGTTTATGTTAGTTAATGTGAATGCAAAGAAAATAACAAAATGCAAAAAAAAATGTCTAAATATATGATGCATGAAATGATCGAGGCATTAATCCAAAAATGTATCTGTTATTAAAAATAATCCTTATTGGGGACAAAAGTGTTTTATCTTTTAAGAGACAATAATATTCTGACAACTTCTGACATGTTGACTAGTCTTCTGCGTTCGTCTGTCACCGGTTGGATAATCTGTCGAACCGCTCCAACTTATGCCGATGATGAGTCTGTTCCACTCTCTGCCGAGTCTCGAAGGACTGCACCTCCGGCTTCCACTCTCTGCCGAGTCTGTTCCCTAGCAGCAACACCATTGGAGCCCTCTATCGAAGTTTTCTTCTTGAATTCGTCAGCATTGACATTCAGCTCAGTTAGGGTTTTGCCGTCTTGTTCTCGTAGTTTTTGAAAGGAGCGTCCGGGTCTGTAACCTTTTCCTCGTTTTGCTCTGCAACCTTTGGCAGTCAATTCTTCAATGATAGACTTTCATTACTTAGTGTATACCCGGTTTATCCTGAGTCTTTTATAATGCACCAGAGTGATCTACTCTTTACTTGTGGGGACCACATAGTCGCCTTGTAGATTGTCCTCTGTATTTTCATCTCTTGTATTACAACCCCTTTGTCCATTAATGCAGATTATTCATGTTTAACAAACACGTTTTTGGTGGATCAACACCTCTTTTGAATAATGCAAGTGATGAAAATAAATAAAATAGAAGAAAGATGAAAAGAGTTAGTGATGTGAAAAATAATAAAAAATGATCATAAAAATGAAAGTCCTACCCCACATGATATCTACCTCACATGCTTATTATTCCTACCCGAACATGATCTCTATCCCACAAGTTGATTTTGAACAAGTCCTAACCGCATAAATTTCTAGTTCACATGCTTTGAACAGAAAGTAAAGTAGGAAATAATTTCGGCATCCTAGGGTTTGGAATTAGGTTTTGGGGTGGGCTCTAACTCCTTGTAGTCTCCTGGTTTAGGTTCTAAAAAGGTACTCGAGTTCTCCTTGCTGGTGCCCCCTTGGGCTTGCCAGACCCTTAGTCCTAAGCCCATTATAAGCTTGTGTGGACTAAGTTAAACTCGAGAGGAAACATTCCCTTATGCCCATACGGAGAATAAATTCACACGAAGGCATAAGGTATATGAATCCCGAAGGTTACTTGCTAGGTCCATACGGTGAATAAATTCACACGAAGGCGTCGCTTTCGCCCCCACTTAAAAGGGTTCAGAGCTCGGGTATAGAGCCTGAGATAGAAACTTTTCAAAAATCTGAAATCATTAAAAAAATGTTAGTACAACTATTTATTTGAAAAATAATCAAAGGTAAATAATTGGAACCGAATAAATAAATTAAAATTTAAACTTACAATTTTCGCATAAAAAGACAACCGGAAATTAATTCTGGCCTGACTCACTTACCTGTCCCCAGCGGAGTCGCCAAGCTGTCGGAACCGTCTTTCGGTTGGGCCCGAAATTGGGCTTCGACTTGAAATAATTGGGTTGGAGTCGCCACCGACCATTTTAAAATGAATTTAGGTAGGTCGGACACCATCTTACCTGATCTGCGTTTTACCAGAAGTGAATCGGGTTCGGGAGTCGGTTACGGTCAAGGAAGGATTAGCACCCTTGAACCGCCCTTTCGGTACCAATTAATTTGCCGATTGTCTTTAATTACGAAAATTAGAAAATTTAAATTGAAATTTAGAAATCCGATTCGAATTACTTACCTTTGATCGGTTGAAATTCTTATAAAAAACATCGAACATGTTAGATAAGAAAAATGATAATAATAGCGACGATAAATAAAATATAAAAAAATAAACAATAAATAAATAAATAGATCAAGAGTAAATAAAATAATAAAATAACAAATTAAAAAAATGAAAAATAAAATAAAAGTTGCAAAAAAAGGAAAAATATGGTACATAAAAAGGAATAAAATAAAAAAATACGAATAAATCGAAGAAAACAAAAAGAAAACTTTTTCAAAGAAATGTTAAGGCGAAAAAAGGTTAAGGTTTAGAAGCAATAAAATAAAATAATACGAGAAAAAAAAATGACGATAAAACAAAATAAAATAAAACTTAGGATCTAATTGAAACAAATTGGACTTAAGGGATTTTAAAACAATGTACTGCAACAGAAAGAATAAAAGGTTTAGGGCCAATTCACAAAGTATGAAAAAATAAACACGGGTTAAATTAAACAAATTGGAAATTAGGAGGCTAATTTACAACTGGTGACTGAATTGTAAAGCGATTCAAAATACCAGGGACGGCGGAAAGGATTTGACAATCCTGTATTTTCACTTTGGTCCTTCGTATATAAATACCAAAACCAGCTTATTTTCCCCTCATTCTCACCATTTCTCTAAAACTCTCCTCTCTTAAACGAGAGAAAGCTCTCCCGATGCCCCCTCTCCAGCCGAATGTTGGCCACCACAGCCGTCGCCGGAAATCGCTTCGGCCGCCATAACCGGCGGCCGGACAAACTCGAAACTTACACAAAACGCATCTCTCAACGCCCCTAAACCAAAACCGAGCCCTATATCCCCTAGAAGCGCCTCCTCCGACGTAGATCTAGGAAACTAACTCCGGGTTCTTTACCTTTTTCGCAAGACCGTTCGTTTCCCGACGACCGTTCTCCTCCCCGATTTGCTCTTTAGTACGGTTGGCTTTGTTTTTGGCACTGCTTTGTTCTTTGTGGCTCGTTGTTTATGTGGGTTTTGTGTTGGTATGGTCGTGTGGCTTACTGTTTTGTGCTCTGGTTTTATGTTGGTCGTGTGTTGGGTTTTTCTTCGTTGATGTTGGTCTCGGTTTACTCTCTCTGTGAGTACTGTCGTGGGTTTACTGTTGTCCCCCGTAACCGTGGCTTTGCAAAGCATTTATAAGCCTTCATCGGCCGTTGTGATCCCGAGAATAACGGGACGTGGTGGACTGTTCCGAGATCTTCGTGCATGTATGACCGGTCATCCCGGGATGGGTCAGTCCCGGGATGCCGGCCGACCGTTTCGGCATGTGTGACCGTCCATTGCTTTATGCGGCGCTGACTATGTAATTCCCCTAAGCAAGAAACCCTAATATGCTATTGGGCTAGTTCAAACCCGGTTCTTTGATTGCTTGGGCCCTATCCTGGACCTGAAACAAACAATAATAAATAAATAAATAATAAATGAAAAAAATAAATAAATAGATAAATTAATAAATTAATAAAAAACATTTTTAAAACTATACAATATATGTTTTTAAAAAAATAATTTTCAAAACCACATAACATATATTTAAAAAAAAAAATTCAAAACTATATAATATATTTTTAAAAACTAATTTTCAAAACTATATATATATATTTTAAAAACTAATTTTCAAAATTATATAATATATATTTAGAAACTAATTTTCAAAATTATATAATATATATGTTTTTCAAAATGTTTTTAAAAGCTATATATTATATATATTTAAAAAAGTTTTCAAAACAATATAATATGTATTTTCAAAAATGTTTTCAAAAACTATATATTATATATTTTCAAAATATTTGAAAAAAACCATATATTATATAATTTTCAAAATGATTTCAAACTATAAAAAAAATGGACAAAAATTGGTGTCTACAGTAAAATATATTATCAGCTAATAAATTATATTCAAATGATCGTTTTAATCTTTAAATTTTTAAAATTATAAAATAATTATTAAATTTATTAAATTGTTATATCACTGTTAAACTTAACTTTGTAATTCAAACAAGTATCTATTAAAAGTTTAGGTCTTTATTTAAGTTAGGAAGTCAAGTTTAATTATCTAATTAGACCGAGTATTGAACTTTAAGGTCAAATTTCAAGTATTTAATTAGGAGAAAAACTTAAATAGCAAATTGAATCTTGAAATAAAGTTTGGATACCAAAATTGTATATTTACCTTTCTATGAAGTATAATTGCTGTGGGAAATTCCAACGAACCCAGTTTTAGTTTGGGACTTGGGAGGGAAAGACGACGGGGTTGATTAATTAAGTGGGGGAAGGAAAGATATTGGATCACACGCTATCCTAAACCAAAACGACATTTCCTTTGCTCAACAAAACAACGTCAATGGCTGTATCTCTCTCTCGAGTCTCAGTTTTTTTATTTCGTCTGAGATTTCTCCTTCTCAAACCCTCTTCACTGTTATCAACTTCTTCGGTTCTTCCTCACTTTCACTCCCATCTTCCCTTTAAAGCTTTGGGAATTTCGTAAATTTTTACAGGATATTATGACAAGCTTTGTATCGCCTCATTGTTGTAATTTGTCGGTTGGGGTTTCGGAACACGTTTCCAGCAGCAGGGGAAAGTTTCATAAGTCTCCAAGACTGAGATGTTGCGGTCCATATTTTCATATCGGCGGGTTTAGTTTTTTCCAGGGTCAGTGTCAATGTTTTTGCTTCTTGTACGGCCCCGAGAAGTCGTCGGAGATGTTGTCCGATCTTTTCCAGCGCCGTGGATGACGGTGGCGCTGAATCGGATGATGCTGACGATGGGAATGATCCGACAGAATCTTCACAAGGGGGAAATAAAAGAGTACGCTTGATATTCACTTTTTAGTTATCTAGATGAAAATTAAATTAAAAAAAATTGCCTTTTTGTTTATTGGGAAGTCTTTGAGATGAACATAGTCATGTTTAGCGTATGCGTATGCGTATGCGTATGCGTATACGTATGCGTATGCGTATGTATATGTGTAAGAACACTTGATAGTTGACACTAGGAATTCTAACTATAAATCCTGCCCAAGTAGTTATCTTTTATTCAATTAATTGTTTGATCTGTTACTCATGAAGTGAAAACGATGGGGTAGTATTATCTTTGAAAGTTGTTTATAAACAGTACAAAGCTATATTCGTAGAGGTCACAATTTGGTGAACCGGAACAGTTTATTTTCGAGTTGGAATTTGTACAGTTACGTCCTTTGTGTCAAGGTTTTCATACTGTTGAGTTTTGGATTTGGGTTGTTGAACATTTTAGTTTTTGCTGGTTGGGTTCATTTGCATCTATATGTCTGTTTCGATGGAGTGGTGAAACTAGTTACGTTATTGATTGGTAATTTCGTGGATTCTTGTTATATTCTTTCCCGGATTGTTCTTGTTGGACAAGGTTTTTTTTCTTGCTACTTTCTCTTCTTCCATTCATGATCCTAATGCTTGCTGTAGTGATTTTTGTTTATGTAGTTCTCTTTTGCAATTGTCTCAGAAAAACAGTGATATGCTTCGGGAAAACCTTGAACGAATAGTTGGCACGGATGATTCCACCTTTAGTGGCTTAGACCTTGCAACTCTTATTAGGAACAAATATGGCAGGTCTTATGATGTTCAATTGATAAAGAAGGTTTGCCTTTATAAATGAGAGTATGGCTTTATCGGATTGCCTTTAATTTCTCAAACATATAGATTATTGATTACCGTTTATTGTTAATACTTTTTGAAATGGTAGTTTACGACGAGATTCGAGCTTGCTAAGCGTAAGTTTGAGACGGTCATTTCATGTATAGAATGTAGACGAATCTTATTAAGGGTGTCTCAACATGTAGCACCCGAATTTGTATAGAATTATTTCCTTGATGTCTCTTCTTCTGCATTGAGTTTGAAATTATCTACTGAAAATGTCACATTGTCTACTGAGGTAGGGAGAAGATTTTTATGTCCTTTATATTCAAAACCACATGGCTTTGTAACTAAAAACTAATAGTGACTCGTTTCAAGCGCCAAGCTTCTATTTATACTATGAAGTTCCAATGTCAGCTTTGTGAAAAATGCTTTGTTTCTTTAATTATAGGAAGTAAAAATGTGTTTTTGATAGCAATAGCAGATATCACATTCATATTGTTATTAGAAATATGCTGTTTCTTCTTTTTTTTGTATATTGCGGAACTCGACGACGACTTCAGACTTTCTTATTACACAAGACAATACACCTAACTTGCCCTAAGTAGATGAAATTTAGAGCACATAGCCATTTTCATAACTTCGAGGGCATTCTATGGTGGTTGGATTAATGGTTTATTCAGTTCCTAATTCGTGTTTGCTTGAGATTTTTATTGTATCACTTAAGAGTTCTTTACCTGCCTTAATTTAGGAGTTCATGGGAAGAAATCTCTTTGCAATGAATGTTATGTGGAAGTACATGGAGCAGGTATTTACTTATTTACTCATGCACTCATTATCCAATACTTGAATTCTTTACTTATTTACTTCTCATCAACAAATCGATTCCCTTGCTACTAAACATCATGTTATATAAATATATAAAGGAAATAGTGTACTTAAAATATTAAATTTTGCAAAATTTTATCTCATTATGCTTGGAGATTGCCTTCTATCCATCGCCGGGAGGTGCAACATCGAGACATTGGTTCAATAAGAATTTAAATTCTTTGTCAAAAGTCTATCTTGCTCGCATCAGACCTGAACATGGTGAACAAAGCATTGGAGTTCATATTACTCAAAACCCTGAATACATATATAGCTTTAACATCCAAAACATTTGGAAATTGTAGGTATCCAGTAAATAAACAATTCATATAACAAACCCTTAAACAAAATCAAATTTCCATCGCCATAATCTTCATCCCTCGGCTGCTTTTCCCCACTTCGCCGGGTGGATGGTCCAGGGGTTGGCCAAAGGAAAAAAGAGGCAAAAAGAGCTGCGTTTTAGCTTTGATCAATGTACCAGGGTTGCTACAAAAGCTTTAACTTTACAGTGGGAATCCAGAGGTGAATGATATTTTCAATATGCAAGCGAAAAAATTGATGCCTGGAAATGCATTAGGTTGTTGGGAAGTGCAAAAAACAGCATTGTGGGTGGAACTTATCGATCTGAAAAAAAAGATAAAAAAAAATCTGATTTTATTTTTTCAGGAGCACCAACTCCAACAGCGGAAATAAGGGACCCGACCGGTTCTTCAAATATAATCAGCTTGCTGCTCCGTTTCTCCAGCTTGTCGGTTTCGTTTGGCTTCTGCTGCTGCCCGCTTCTCTTCTGCCTTGTGTCGTGCAGCGGCTAGTTTATTCATGAGCTTATCATGAGCACGCCCCCTCATCGTTTCAACCTCAACCTAAAAGGTGAGAATCATACAATCCATACATGAATCCGTATTTACTTAGTAACATTGAATTTCTTTCCATTATCTTCAAAATGTATGGTGTAGCGACTAGCAACTAGTAAGTTGTATGCTGGTAACAACTTTTCAATTTCCTATACTCACAGACCTGTATCATTTAATCATGTACATCTACATATGTAATATAAGAACAACTATGAGGGTACTGAAGATAATCAATTGCTTAAGCTAGCTTGGCAAAAAGTGTATGAGCTGGGCTCAATTGGGTTGTTTAACGTGTAACTCAAGCTTGACTTGGGATTGAACTAACAGAGTGACCCAGAAGAGTTTGAATACTAAGCTGCTTGGTCGCAGCTTGCCTCTTTTGAATCCTAATTACTGCTCTTTGAGTGCATATTATCTCGCCTAAATGTTCTTTCAACTCTATGTTTACAAGTACTAGAAGTTAATTAGCACTTGTAATCTCCAAGACGAATGGAGAAAGACAATGATTTTATTAGTTTTAGGACTTGCAATAGGTGTTAACTTCCTAAAAAGGCTACTTTTAAAGCCTTTTTCACTTAAGTTATTGTTTGTTTAAAAGCTCATTTTAGACATTTTAGGATCATGTAGTTGCATATAGTGCATTTGTGGTAGTTGTGCTATTTTATTTCTTAATGGTGCTGTTTGAGGGAAAGGTGCAGTTTATTTGTGGTGTGCAGGGAATAGCAAGAAAAAAGGATTCTTCGGGAAGTAATGCCGCGGCATCACACGTTGCTAAAGCAGATTGAAATGCCTTGGCATTTCCGGCGCAGAAAAAGACAAAAAAATATTTCTGCATAAGGACAGCTAGCACTGGACAACTGTCTCTGCACGTGAAAGACTGTTGTAACCGCCTGCCAGAGCTGCCAAATGACCACTGCCACTTGGAGGATAAAGTTCACACACAACATGTGATTCTAGGGGTATGACGGGTATTTTGCACTCAACAACCTCATCATTACCCCTAGATATTTTTTATTATATATGACACCTCATGGGGGAGAAAGAGAGAGGACACATACGGTAGCAAAAAATCAGATTTTTCTTTTTCTTTTTCCCTTCTTCTTCCTTGGGATATTCCTCCATTGATAAAGCTCCAAAGAGTGGCGAGCTAGGAGCCGAAAGGAGCTAACGAGCTAGGTGGTTCACGGTGGCTGAGAGGAGACCTCCGGTGGCGCGTCGAAGGCTTCTTCTCAACTTTCTCTTTTGCTGATATTTTATATTTATTTGTGGGTTATTGAAACAAATATTTTCATGACTTTGTGTTTGGATATTTTGAACCCCACCATGAACTAACTTATTTGGTAGTGGTTGATTTAATGGTTTCTTGAACTTTATTTTTAATTGTATATTTAAGTTTATTTTGGTTCTTTATTTACTTTGCTTATAAATGCTTCACCATCTAGGCTTGTAAGAGGCATGGAAATGTCTATTTCTTAGATGAAGGTTAGGTATTCGGAAGAATCCTAAGCTAAAAATACTTGTAAGTATTCGGAAGAAACGCAAGATAAGATCCTCATAAGCAATGGGTTATAATATTTTCAAGTGGCTTTGAACCGGTCTAGGAGTATTATAATCTAATCCCTTAGATCTTGGAAGAGACTAGGATATGATTTCAACGACTAAAAGGGATGTCTTTATCAATAGAGTAGGCTGTTCAACATCGTTGAGTGAGAGCAGATGCCTTGGCATCCTATTCTGTTATGTTCTTTAGAACACTTTAGGAAAGCCCTGTCGAGTAAGTAAAGACCAGTTAGCTTAAATATACTTGAGAAATAAGTTTAGCATCCGTAGATCAATCCCTACCATTCATTCTCTTGGAAGCTTGTCACGTGAGGATTATTTTCTTTTCATTTTATTTTCATTTTATTTACTGTTTTTACCATTTTTCATTGCCTTGACATTTCACCATACTCAACATCAAACATCCATCATTGCCATTGCATTTCCATTTGCTACACCATCAGACCATCACTACATATCCACTAGCATACACATTTACATTTCCGTGACATTTGTATATATCAAGACTAACTATAGTTAGATAGAATAGTGCATTGTTTTGGTTAGACTTTAGTAATTTCACCAAATCCTTGTGGAGACGATACTCACTCATCATTATATTACTTGAGCGATTGTGTATACTTGCACATTACTTGCGTATAATTTATAGTACTCACAACACGCGAGCAATAGGCAATACCACAATACAGAAATAACATAGTAACAACAAAATATAAATTAAATGCTATATAATACATCTATCTTCCTCATCTCAGCTTCAGTTTTTGCTTTTTGATGGTTCTCCCATGCTTGAATTTTCATTTCTTCACGTTTGAACCTGGATAATAACCTCATAACTTTACAAGTTGAAGATGGAGTGTTAACCAAAAAACGACCAATGCATAAGCGGTGTGCAGATTTTTGTGTGTAAACCAATTACCCATACACTCAAGTGTCGATATTCCAAAATCATAAGATCATTCCATAAAAATCCTACAGAGAGATGCATCTATTTAAAAAGAAAATTCAAAAAGCTCAATGACAATTATTTAGAAAGAAAATACCTGGCCATATACTTGGCTTTCTCTGCCTCCTCCCATGCTGCTGCACGGGTTTCAACGACACTAATAGATGGTTGTTCTGGTGCAAGAGTTTTCAGTAAGGTGGATGCATCCTTATCCTCCTCCTTGCTAGCCCATGCAGCTATGTTTGTTTTACCTAACTGAGCCCCAAGAACCATAATTTCTCTCCTTGTTTTCATTTGGAGCTCCTTCTCTGACAACTCCATGTTCAGACCTAAGGGGTCTTTACCTGAATTTTCGGGGGATGCAGGCAGCACAGCTCTGCTGGGAGTTGATGGCCTGGATAAATTTGGGCTCCGAATTGGTGTTGTTGACTGCACAGGAGTTCCTGTCCTCGAAGGTTCTTGGCTAGCAATAGGAGTCATTTCTGTGCCCATATCTCTCATGGATACTGATCTGGCTGTTGGAGGAGGAGGAATGAATGTCGTAGCACTATGTATCGATATTGATGGATCGTGCTGACTAAGACTAACTGCAAGGAAAGCAATAATTAATTTCTTCGTACATCGCCAATTACAAGGAAGCTTCATGTTACACACATTTATGCAATAGCACAACTGCAAGTTAACCAAGCCTGTTCTTTGTGTGAATTTCCAAGTTCACTCATTGTCAGGAGCTGCTTGCGATCTTAAAATATGGGGGTTAAAGATCTAAAAGGGTCAGAGCGAAGATTTATGTTCTTGTGACAGAAAAACAAAACCTGCTCATTTACTTGAAAATATATAAACTAACCACAAAAAGTTGACTAAAGAGGAACACTATTACTTCTAATACTATCAGTACGACAGTAACATTAAGGAACTTACTTTTTATGCACAAAATTTTCAAACAGAAGGCTCCCCTCAAGTGATATTGGTTCCAATAAGCCAAAAGCTCAAAAGTTCATCATCACACGATTTATTCAGTAAAACACAAAATGTTCAAGTTTTAACATGATTTGTGCTCAAGAAGGGTTAATTTCTTCGATTAAAGGCATAGTGGGTTTGATAATTATGAATATAAATGCTAATTCTTGTAATAGAAACGTGCAAATGAAACTAAGACTAAATTGAATATATATAAAAAAATCCTTACTAGCTGACTCTGCAACAGAGTTCTCAATCATCAGTACAGGCCTCCCTGTAACACCCCAATTTATGGGCTAAATTTAAGAAAATATAAATTGGTGGATTTAATTTGGTATTTTGAAAGAAATAAGGGATTAAATTGTAAGATTTCAAAGTTGACAGACCGTTTTAAGAAGTGCAGGAAGTTCAGTGGCTAAACTCTTGGTTTAGCCATCTTTAATTATGAGATGTTATAAACCCCCCAGACTCCCGTATGTTTCTGGAAAATTTTCCAGTTTTCCTCTCCCGTTCTCCCTACTTCCAACTCCGATCTACTCGCCGTCCGACCTCCAAACGACAAGCCGAAACAACCATCGTGTTCGTTGTCAACCGAGGAACAAAACCCCTCAAACCTTTCGTCGTGAATCATCGCCGTTCGTCGTGAATTTCAGTCGGAAGTATCGTCGGTAATAACTCGGTTTTAGTTGGTTTTTCATCGATTCACGACGATCGGGTCATCCGTTTACGACACCTCCCGCACCATCGTGTTCCTTGTGCCGTTCCGAGTCCACCGGTGTTCTCCTTTTTCTCCGGCGACGGCGGCGCGTTGGGAGGTGAACCGGTCAAACTTCCCGATTTGTTGAAATCGAGCTCTCCGCCGTTCAAAATTGTGAACCGAGCTTTGTAAGTATCTCGAAATCGCTCAAAATAATTTTTAGAAATTTTTCCGGGATTTTATCACTGTTCACGCGCCCCCACGCGCCGCCACTGCGCGTGGGGAAGGGAAAAGTGACCGGTTTGACCGGTTTTGGAACTGTTTTGACCGGTTTGACCGGTCACAACCCGACCCGACCCGTTAACCCGACCCGACCCGTTCACCCGACCCGACCCGTTGACCCGACCCGTTGACCGTTGACCCGTTGACCGTTGACCGGAGTTGACCACTGTTGACCAAAACTTTGACCGGCTTTGATCGGGCATTAAACGACCTTTGACTTCGACCGAGTATACCTATCCTGACATTTTTCGACGTTCCAAATCCGATTCCGCTGTCCGTTTTTAAAATTCGAACCCGAAGGCCTCGAAATTGTCAGTCAAACCCGTTGACTTTGATTTTGACCGAAAATTCCAAATTTCCGAAAAGTCATATTTTATGCTTTCGACGTCCTGAATCCGAATCCGAAGTCCGTTTCGCCAAATTCAAACTTGGTAAGCCATCTTTCACTGATTTATCACCCGATTCGATCCGTTTATCGTAATTAAGCTCCGTTTCTGATATAATTTATGTTGATATGTATCTGAGGAATTATTGGAAGTTGAATTGAAGATCAAAGGCGTTCGAATGGAATTTTTATGGTCGATCAGTATTACACGAAAATCGAGGTAATACTTTACTACCTCTTTATGCTTTATGGAACATGTTGGTATTGATAAATGCATGAATGGAAATGTTTGGTCTCATATGTGTAATTAATGAAGATCTACACTAGGTACGAATACGGTAGAAAGTAGATAACTGAATATGGCTCAGATGACTATTATAAGAAATTGGAGGACGGTTTGAATTAAATTACAAGTTCCGGAATTAAGTAATAAAAGAATTAACCATGGATTGTAGATTATAATTTATCTCATTAAAGGTACTTAGATGATAAATTAAGATAATATTTCGATTAGGGAAAATTACGAAATTACCCTTATGTTGGAAAATGATAAGAATTGTCTCGGGAAGTGGATTAATAAATCTGAGAAGAATTATTGATCTGCTAAAACTATTGATGTGCATAAGAAATGTTAGTTTTACTTGGAAATTATGGAGAACCGGTTTTTAACCCCAAGAAGGTTTATGCAAGATACTAGAAGTGTGTTAAGGGAATTATTTCAAGATCAGAGATTGTTCAAGAAATCAATTAATCATAGGATCTCTAAATTATATTATTTTCGTTAAGAGCTAATATCGAACTTATCTGGTTAAGAAATTACGGAAATGCCCTTAAGAGGTAGAATAGTCTGAGATGACTCTGAATGAGAAAATACTTAGAGGATTCGTACTTAACTCGATTAAGTACGGATTTAATTGTTAAGATCCTGACTTAGTGCTGGAAAATTTATGATATTCCGTTTGTAAAGTATGAGAAGACACTTGACCTGAAAATATTCGAATAATGAGTAAATACTGGAAGAGTAATTTATCGGGGGTATTCTGCTGTCAGAATTGTTCGAAAGGACTGAAGTAAATGATAAGATTGAATTAAATAATAAGATCGGATGGAAGGAAAAGATTGAAATACCGTAGATCTATAAAATGACCAAAATACCCCTGTAATGGAAATGACCCAAGAATATCACCAAGCTCATGAATGATTGAATATCCTCGAGTTCTGACATGAATGGAATAAAACTGAACATCAAAATTACCAAAATAACCTTATGGCCTAAATTAAGTAAATGTCTTGGATTAATTAAGGAATCCAAGTAAGCATAGGTATTGGACTACCTTTAAAGGTAATGGAAAATAATTTAAGTGAGTAGATCAACCCTAAAGCTATGTCAATACTTGAATGGCATAGATATTACTGGAACATATGTTCGTCTTCTCAAGTTTGGCTCGATGATGAATCTTGGGAGTATTCAGTTCAGCTCAGATCTAGATCGTATTCAGTACTAAGAATTGGACGTTTGTTCAACAATCAACCACGAAGACCAAATTGAATGGGATGGAAGTACAACATGTATCTGAAATTCAGGAACGTTTGAATTACTCTGGAAAATTCTGAAGTAACTGGAATGGAGATGACTGCTAAATGAAATAGGTAACCTCAATGACTGAGGATTTAGTAAGTGATTTGGATAAGTCTGGAAACTCTGATGAGTTTACGTAGTGTACAATTACAATGGGTTATGAACAAATTAATCAAGTACGTCAACATTTCATGATATTGTGGAAGCGTGGAAATGAAATAAAGTCATTGGAAGATTTATTCAGCGATAATTCCGAAAATGGTCTACGAACAAGAATTTGTGGTATTAAAGAGTAAATACCCTAGAAGGAAAATGAATTGACCAGTCGACATAGATTGTTAAGGTTCTGAATCTTCGTTCTCAAGTTGTTCGATTATCCGATCAATCGACATGGATGTAAAGGATTCTGAATACCCTTCTGATTACGTACAGCTTCTGAAAACTGTCCGAATAAGATAATATCCTGATAATTCACATTCTGAATAACTGATGATTCTGTCAGTTAATGAACTCTTTCAAATAGTGATTCTAAATTCTGATATCCTATCGGTATACTGAATATTCATGTTTCTCTACCTGTTAAGATTATCCAATACCTCTGAATAATATCTGTAAACTCTGGTGTGTTCCCTAATCATATAAATATTTTATCTGATTTCCGACTTGAATTCTGTTATGATCCTGACCTGGATTCTGATCTGATATTGACATGGATTCTGATCTGATACATGACCTGGATTCTGATATGATACTTGACTTGAATTATGTTTTGATTTTTGATATATCCGTTTACGGACGGAACATTTTTATTGGGGGGTATTGTTGGAGGAAGATTACTTGGAGGTTCCTCGGCTGTGTGCTCAGGGCCTTACTTACCGGTTCCTCGGCTGTGTGCTCAGGGCCTTACTGTTAGTGACGGGGTTGTATGGTTCTGGGGAACCTATACATTTTGTTCGTGACGGATGGGGGTATATATATATGTTTTAAAAAGATCTGAAAAGTTACATGGTTTTTGGGAACACACTAGAAAACCTATTCTGATCTCCTGAACTCAGTCATCCGAAATATTTCTCTGAAACAAAAGCTCATTGTCCGTTACCACCTGAAATATCAGTAGGATCTCTGCTCATCATAAAAATCTGTAAATATCTGAACCAATAAGGAAAATATGTTTATCTGTATCTGCACGTTTTTCAGCATCATCTGGTAGTTCTGTATTACTGAGCTTTCCAAAGCTCACTCTATTACTCACCTTTTCAGGTTAAAAGAATTGTACCAGTGCATCTATCGACTTCAGTAAGGGAGTTCTTCCGGCGTTGTTGCAGAGTATGGTACATGTGATTAGGGGGCATGTAATTGTATTTTGATTTATATACGAGTCTGGAAATATGTTTTATTTTTAAATAGTGACAAATGATTTTATAAGTTACATGTTTCAATAAAAGTTTTAAATTTCCGCTATTTTTATAGTGGGTCGCTCCGGTGGCCCTAATGTGACTTCCCGGATCGGATCGGGTTACCCGCATCGGTCTGGGGGGTTACATTTAGTGGTATCAGAGCTATGGTTTGAGTCAAGATTTGTCAAGATAGACCGGCCGGTCAAATGTCAAAAATATGTCTGATCAGTACATGCCCCTAGACTGCAATCGTACCTCTCTGAGCCGGAACTCCAGGGCTGAGTCCCTATCTGTATTGAGTAAACCAAAGTTTCTGTCTGCTAAGGCTATATTTGTACAGAAAGGAATACCAGTAACATCTGTCTAAACGCTGTAAAGTATCTCATGAGCCATGTGAGAGTTATTTATCTGAGAATTTCTGACTCGACTCCGTAAATGAAATTGAGATATGTTGTTGCTCTACGAGCCTATTCACGTATCCAATGCTGAATTGATTTCACAAGAATAAAGTTGTTCTGATTATTTACTTGGACTGAGGGAGAATTCTGAAGAGATTGATTACTCGAGAAAATTTTAAATTCTTTTATTGAAATAAGGAAAATTTACAATAAAATGTATGCTCAGCTGGTTAAGGATAAGTGGAGGAATCGTACTTTTATAAAAACTATTGATAGATTTGAAAGAACCGATGGAAGTTTCATTTATGCAATTATGTGACATGAATGAATTTCGAGGACGAAATTTTTTTTAAGGAGGGGAGAATTGTAACACCCCAATTTATGGGCTAAATTTAAGAAAATATAAATTGGTGGATTTAATTTGGTATTTTGAAAGAAATAAGGGATTAAATTGTAAGATTTCAAAGTTGACAGACCGTTTTAAGAAGTGCAGGAAGTTCAGTGGCTAAACTCTTGGTTTAGCCATCTTTAATTATGAGATGTTATAAACCCCCCAGACTCCCGTATGTTTCTGGAAAATTTTCCAGTTTTCCTCTCCCGTTCTCCCTACTTCCAACTCCGATCTACTCGCCGTCCGACCTCCAAACGACAAGCCGAAACAACCATCGTGTTCGTTGTCAACCGAGGAACAAAACCCCTCAAACCTTTCGTCGTGAATCATCGCCGTTCGTCGTGAATTTCAGTCGGAAGTATCGTCGGTAATAACTCGGTTTTTAGTTGGTTTTTCATCGATTCACGACGATTGGGTCATCCGTTTACGACACCTCCCGCACCATCGTGTTCCTTGTGCCGTTCCGAGTCCAACGGTGTTCTCCTTTTTCTCCGGCGACGGCGGCGCGTTGGGAGGTGAACCGGTCAAACTTCCCGATTTGTTGAAATCGAGCTCTCCGCCGTTCAAAATTGTGAACCGAGCTTTGTAAGTATCTCGAAATCGCTCAAAATAATTTTTAGAAATTTTTCCGGGATTTTATCACTGTTCACGCGCCCCCACGCGCCGCCACTGCGCGTGGGGAAGGGAAAAGTGACCGGTTTGACCGGTTTTGGAACTGTTTTGACCGGTTTGACCGGTCACAACCCGACCCGACCCGTTAACCCGACCCGACCCGTTCACCCGACCCGACCCGTTGACCCGACCCGTTGACCGTTGACCCGTTGACCGTTGACCGGAGTTGACCACTGTTGACCAAAACTTTGACCGGCTTTGATCGGGCATTAAACGACCTTTGACTTCGACCGAGTATACCTATCCTGACATTTTTCGACGTTCCAAATCCGATTCCGCTGTCCGTTTTTCAAAATTCGAACCCGAAGGCCTCGAAATTGTCAGTCAAACCCGTTGACTTTGATTTTGACCGAAAATTTCAAATTTCCGAAAAGTCATATTTTATGCTTTCGACGTCCTGAATCCGAATCCGAAGTCCGTTTCGCCAAATTCAAACTTGGTAAGCCATCTTTCACTGATTTATCACCCGATTCGATCCGTTTATCGTAATTAAGCTCCGTTTCTGATATAATTTATGTTGATATGTATCTGAGGAATTATTGGAAGTTGAATTGAAGATCAAAGGCGTTCGAATGGAATTTTTATGGTCGATCAGTATTACACGAAAATCGAGGTAATACTTTACTACCTCTTTATGCTTTATGGAACATGTTGGTATTGATAAATGCATGAATGGAAATGTTTGGTCTCATATGTGTAATTAATGAAGATCTACACTAGGTACGAATACGGTAGAAAGTAGATAACTGAATATGGCTCAGATGACTATTATAAGAAATTGGAGGACGGTTTGAATTAAATTACAAGTTCCGGAATTAAGTAATAAAAGAATTAACCATGGATTGTAGATTATAATTTATCTCATTAAAGGTACTTAGATGATAAATTAAGATAATATTTCGATTAGGGAAAATTACGAAATTACCCTTATGTTGGAAAATGATAAGAATTGTCTCGGGAAGTGGATTAATAAATCTGAGAAGAATTATTGATCTGCTAAAACTATTGATGTGCATAAGAAATGTTAGTTTTACTTGGAAATTATGGAGAACCGGTTTTTAACCCCAAGAAGGTTTATGCAAGATACTAGAAGTGTGTTAAGGGAATTATTTCAAGATCAGAGATTGTTCAAGAAATCAATTAATCATAGGATCTCTAAATTATATTATTTTCGTTAAGAGCTAATATCGAACTTATCTGGTTAAGAAATTACGGAAATGCCCTTAAGAGGTAGAATAGTCTGAGATGACTCTGAATGAGAAAATACTTAGAGGATTCGTACTTAACTCGATTAAGTACGGATTTAATTGTTAAGATCCTGACTTAGTGCTGGAAAATTTATGATATTCCGTTTGTAAAGTATGAGAAGACACTTGACCTGAAAATATTCGAATAATGAGTAAATACTGGAAGAGTAATTTATCGGGGGTATTCTGCTGTCAGAATTGTTCGAAAGGACTGAAGTAAATGATAAGATTGAATTAAATAATAAGATCGGATGGAAGGAAAAGATTGAAATACCGTAGATCTATAAATGACCAAAATACCCCTGTAATGGAAATGACCCAAGAATATCACCAAGCTCATGAATGATTGAATATCCTCGAGTTCTGACATGAATGGAATAAAACTGAACATCAAAATTACCAAAATAACCTTATGGCCTAAATTAAGTAAATGTCTTGGATTAATTAAGGAATCCAAGTAAGCATAGGTATTGGACTACCTTTAAAGGTAATGGAAAATAATTTAAGTGAGTAGATCAACCCTAAAGCTATGTCAATACTTGAATGGCATAGATATTACTGGAACATATGTTCGTCTTCTCAAGTTTGGCTCGATGATGAATCTTGGGAGTATTCAGTTCAGCTCAGATCTAGATCGTATTCAGTACTAAGAATTGGACGTTTGTTCAACAATCAACCACGAAGACCAAATTGAATGGGATGGAAGTACAACATGTATCTGAAATTCAGGAACGTTTGAATTACTCTGGAAAATTCTGAAGTAACTGGAATGGAGATGACTGCTAAATGAAATAGGTAACCTCAATGACTGAGGATTTAGTAAGTGATTTGGATAAGTCTGGAAACTCTGATGAGTTTACGTAGTGTACAATTACAATGGGTTATGAACAAATTAATCAAGTACGTCAACATTTCATGATATTGTGGAAGCGTGGAAATGAAATAAAGTCATTGGAAGATTTATTCAGCGATAATTCCGAAAATGGTCTACGAACAAGAATTTGTGGTATTAAAGAGTAAATACCCTAGAAGGAAAATGAATTGACCAGTCGACATAGATTGTTAAGGTTCTGAATCTTCGTTCTCAAGTTGTTCGATTATCCGATCAATCGACATGGATGTAAAGGATTCTGAATACCCTTCTGATTACGTACAGCTTCTGAAAACTGTCCGAATAAGATAATATCCTGATAATTCACATTCTGAATAACTGATGATTCTGTCAGTTAATGAACTCTTTCAAATAGTGATTCTAAATTCTGATATCCTATCGGTATACTGAATATTCATGTTTCTCTACCTGTTAAGATTATCCAATACCTCTGAATAATATCTGTAAACTCTGGTGTGTTCCCTAATCATATAAATATTTTATCTGATTTCCGACTTGAATTCTGTTATGATCCTGACCTGGATTCTGATCTGATATTGACATGGATTCTGATCTGATACATGACCTGGATTCTGATATGATACTTGACTTGAATTATGTTTTGATTTTTGATATATCCGTTTACGGACGGAACATGTTTTATTGGGGGGTATTGTTGGAGGAAGATTACTTGGAGGTTCCTCGGCTGTGTGCTCAGGGCCTTACTTACCGGTTCCTCGGCTGTGTGCTCAGGGCCTTACTGTTAGTGACGGGGTTGTATGGTTCTGGGGAACCTATACATTTGTTCGTGACGGATGGGGGTATATATATATGTTTTAAAAAGATCTGAAAAGTTACATGGTTTTTGGGAACACACTAGAAAACCTATTCTGATCTCCTGAACTCAGTCATCCGAAATATTTCTCTGAAACAAAAGCTCATTGTCCGTTACCACCTGAAATATCAGTAGGATCTCTGCTCATCATAAAAATCTGTAAATATCTGAACCAATAAGGAAAATATGTTTATCTGTATCTGCACGTTTTTCAGCATCATCTGGTAGTTCTGTATTACTGAGCTTTCCAAAGCTCACTCTATTACTCACCTTTTCAGGTTAAAAGAATTGTACCAGTGCATCTATCGACTTCAGTAAGGGAGTTCTTCCGGCGTTGTTGCAGAGTATGGTACATGTGATTAGGGGGCATGTAATTGTATTTTGATTTATATACGAGTCTGGAAATATGTTTTATTTTTAAATAGTGACAAATGATTTTTATAAGTTACATGTTTCAATAAAAGTTTTAAATTTCCGCTATTTTTATAGTGGGTCGCTCCGGTGGCCCTAATGTGACTTCCCGGATCGGATCGGGTTACCCGCATCGGTCTGGGGGTTACACTCCCATATGAATCCACAATCGGGTATGAATCACTTTCCCAATTCACAAACTTCTGCATCCCATCATCTTTCTTGGCATGATTCATATCAATCCGTTTTGTATCCGGTTCTTCAAAAGGAACCATCCTTTGATCTGGAATTTCAACAACCACCTTAGTAGACGACTGTCCCCCATAACCAACATTACCCCCTTTTCTTGATCCCACCCCTGGGCCAGCCTGCCCCGCTTTTGGCCGATTCGCAGTAGGACTAGCTATCCATTTCTGGGCATCATCCCATTTAGATGGAGCTGGCTTAGAAAACGGACCAAGGGGAACCCTTTGTGGCGCCCGTTCGTTCTTCTGAAACTCAAAGATTGATGTGGACACACTCATATTGTCATGTCCGCTATCATAATCTAAACCAGAATGATCCTCGATGAACTGGTTCCGCGTAGTGCCTAAAGAATGATCCTTTGATCTTCGGTTGCTATCATTCTGCAAAGCAGCCATGGAATCTACTGTTGTGGAAGTGGAACATTCTGGAAGAACACTCACCACATCTACATCTTTGCAACTATCAGAACCACTTTTCCCAGCACAAAAAAGAAAATTAAAATGAAAACCAACAGTCTCCACTCTCTTTCCACTCTCTTCAACTTTTGTTTTTGGCTGACTCTATTTTCATATGCATCAAATGAAAAAATACGTCAAAAAAACATTAAATAAAATAAAATTGAAAATACCTGAATCATCATCAAGGTGAGAAAGTTGAGATCTTAAATCTATTGAAGATTCAACTTGTTCTTCTTCTTCTTCTTCTTCTTGTTGTTGCTTTCTTTTCTTTTCTACTCCTAATAGCATAGTCCTTAGCTTAGCTGGGGAAAATCCACCTCCGCTCTACGCATTTTCACAAAAACAGATTTGATTTTTTTTTTCTTCAGTTACAAATTGATTTGAGTTAAAGATCAGCAAATGAAGATTTGAAAAATGAAATCGAAAACTCCTCTTTCTTTCTAGCTCGCTTTCTCATTTTACCAAAAACAACAAAGAAACAAAGCATTGAACGAAGAAAAAGCCGTTAAAAAAAGAGAGATTTGCGAGAAGAATAAGTACCTGAGGCTTTTGGATTCTTTCGTAATCCATGAAAATGATGATCGATTTGCTTTCACTCAACCACTCCAAAAACAAAAATATAAAAATAGAGGCTAAACTCACTGAACTAGCAGCATTGCAGCTATTATTATGACTACGACCGTGCTTGTTGCTTGAGTGATGAAGAACTATACAGTGAAGGCAATGAAGTTTGTCAGATGTTTCTCTTTCGCCCCTATAAACTGACAAATTTCCTCAGAAATAATTAATATGTTTTGAGTTTCGATTTGTGAACTTTGGATGCAATGGACAGGGGGTCAGATGAAGAAAGTGACAGAAATGATAATTTTTTAAAATGTTAATAAACATTTTTACTATTTTCTGGATAATTAGCCAAATAGTTGTTTTTAATTAGGTATATAAATTATTTTGTTTTAATTATAATTAGATTTTAATAATTGTATAGATTAAAGAATAATTATAAAATAAGAATTATGAAATGAAAGATATATAAAAAAAGTTAAAACATTACTTCAGTTGTATATACTTTTATATTATCAATCATTTGAACTTAAAATCAAGCAGTATTTAAAGTTTAGAATTTAATTTTTGAAGTTTAAAATTTAAAATTTAAATATTTATATAATTCTCATTTTTAAGTTTTGACTTCGCAAACAATATCATATAATGAATATATATTGTTAATAGATTTAGATAATTTTTGAACAGAATCACTTTAGATTATTCGAAAAATAATATTTTTTATTTGAATGATATATTTATTTAAGATTCAAAATTTAAGAGATAGAATTTAAGGTTTATTCATATTAAATATTGATGGAGATTGAGATGGTTGTCGCTTTATGTAGCCAAAGCCATTTCCGTTTGACCGGGGGAAGTTGCTTACGAGACGGATCTTTCATGGCCCGTTTACAACAGTCTAACTACAACTATCCCATTCGCTTCAAGCACAAACTTGTCCCCCGACTAAGTAGATGTCCATGGTCAACGGATACTAATATTAATATAATAAAGTAAATCATATTAATGATCATTAATATTTTTATAATTTTTATTGCTTAATTTAAAATTATTAACATGTAATAAAATAGTCATTTCAATTTAATAGAAAATTTTTAAATATTATAATTTATTTCTTAGATAATTTGACCAACGTTATCGTCAAGTCTAACAATCTTCTGAAGTAATTGACACTAGTGCTATCAAATGCTATTTTCATAAATTTATTGTTTTGATTTTATCGTTATAAATTTTGTTAAATTATATATATATTTTTAAAATCTATATATTTCGCATGATAGAAACATAAATTTTTATTTAACAATAATATTTAGAAAACCTTTAAGATTAAACAATCAAAATTGATCAAATAGTTCAGTTGATTTAATTTTTTCAATTTAAAGGTTCAATTGGGTGCAAACAAAAATATAAGAACTTGTTTTTTTTTAAATGAAAACTTCATGTAAAAAATTAAGAGGCTTACTTCAATGGTGTTCTGGAAAGTTGCAGACATTCATATAGAACTGGAGGTACATTGAGTCCATGAAAAGGGAACTTCGAAAAGCTAAGGATTTGGATGCAAAATTGGCTGGAAAAAAAAGCTTCATGTAAAGGAGTTGATTAAGTTGAAAAATCCTTTGAATCCGAATCAATTGATTTGTTGCTCTAGCAAACCCAAAATTCCCTTGAGAAATCCACGCAATGAATCAAGTTCATCTTCAAAAATCTGGAGAAATTCTAAGGTTCATCCGAAATTGCATCTGGAGAAAAAGAGTTTCTTCAAAGGAGAAAAGGTTAGTCGAGCAGGCGGACTCATTAAAGAGCCCACTCAAATCCACCATTGAAGCTGAACAAAACAAGAAAAAGGCCATGGATGCTTTAACTAATATTTTTATACAAACCGGAATTTCAAGAGGATAAGTTTGTTTAAATTTTACATACACAAAACCCAAATGATCAGAAAAGCTACATCAAGCATCTCAAACAAATTCCGATTACCTGATAAATATATGGTTGAATTTCTTTTTGAACCCGTTTTACTTCAGCATGAAGGGAAACTAACTAAACCAGAGCCTAAATCATTATATATATATGTGTGTGTGTGTATTATATGTTAAAAATCCGCAAATTCTACAAATACCTAGTTTTTCTCAAGAAACCAAGCTATCTACGCTCATGAACTTTCCTTGTACCTGATGTGTATCTTCCATAATCACCAGCAGAGCTTCTGCCTTTAGCATCTGTGTGCTTCTCTTCCTCTTGATCTGTTGCTGATTTTTGCTTACGCAACATATCCTCGGCATGTCGACGCCATAGTGCTTCCCTCTCTTTTCTTGGCATTTTGTTATACCTGGGATCTGGCTTCAGAAGAAGTTTGGCCGTTGACCATGAATTGAGGACTGTTTTACCGCCTTGGGTCTCTTGAGCAGCTGCATCTTGAGTTATGACTTCGGATAACAGAGATCTGAAGTCATTCGAGCATCTCTACAAGAGGCCGAATCAAAGGGTTATGTCAGCTACGATTGTTTAAAAGCAGTTCAACAATATGCATAATAAATCCCTTAAAAGTTACAACAATGTCCTTTCCTTTCGTTTCTTCAACTCATAAACGAGCAGTGTCTTTATTGATATAATGTAGTGGCAAATTTACCTCAAACAGCATTTTTATATGTTCACGGAAGAGCTTCTCCATATCAGATGAATCTAAATCAGGGTTTGCTGCACGTCCTTGAGGATCCTTTTCCAACTTAGACTTTGATTCAGTCCAAGATGCCTAGAAAGATTAATAAAAGAAAGGCATCAACTGTTTGACAGATTCCAAATGAACCAACAAAAGAAAGCATTTAAGAATTTTGGCCTTAATTTGATGTTGAATGATTCGGGATTTTATCCAAGTTATAAAACAAGGAAACAAAAGCAAGTGAGATTTCCACAAAAGATATGGTTATACAAAGTAAATATAAATAAATTCAAAACAACAGTTGATAAAAAAAAAGATGAGAGAGAGAGTGAGAGAGGAGTCGAAAGGTCATGGTTTTTCAGGCAAGGGTAGAGTGGTTCCTGGAGGAGAAACGTGGGCAGCATTCATCGATAATCTCAGTAGGAGGGTGCAGAGTAGTGCTTTATGGGAACGTTTTAGTTATCATGGCAAGGTTATTAAGGTGTTCATTCCGTTTGTTAATAACAGACCTAAATACAAGGAAAATACGTTTGCTTTAGTGCATTTTGCAAGCAAGGAGGATCTGCTTAATGCAAAGGAAAGGATGAATAAAGCCATATTCGATGGGAGGAGAATATCAGTGACGATTGCGAAATATCAGAAGAATAGTTCTACGAGGTGCATGAAGATTGATAGCGTGGAGGGGTATGTAGATTCTGTAGCAGAGGAATCGAAAGGGAGAAGATTCGTATCTCCAGTTGAAAATGTAGGGATGAAGGAGTTGATGAATAAGTTTCACGATGGTAGGACATACAAGGATACGGTAGTGGGGGTTAAGAGGAACGCGAAAAAACCTTTGGAAGTTTTTATTCCAATGGAGGAAAGGCTATGGCTCACTTCGTCTTTAACAGGCATTTGCAAGGCGAATTTTGAAGTTGATTACAAAAGGCATTATGGAATGAGGGCTTCAATGTCAAGGTGGTAAGGTGGGGTTATGCAAAAAAAGCATGTTTGTTAGTTTTCCAGACAGTGGAGGATAAAGAGGCAGCGATGGAAGATAAGTGGGAGGCTCTATCCTTCTGGTTCGAAATGCTGGAGCCTGTTACGGAAGATGGGTGTGTTCCATTAGCTTACTGTGCAATTTCCATGATAGGTGTTCCATTAAACTGCTGGTCGGTTTCATTCTTTACAAGCATGGCATCGAGATGGGGCAAGCTAGTGAAGATACAGGAGCAAACAGACCAAAGGGAGGATTGCAGAGTGGCGCATATCCTGCTGAGGGTTGAGAGCCCGTTTGATATTCCTTCCCATGTCACCATTAACACGTATGAAAGGTCGTTCGTTATTAAGATTAAGGTAGAAGGCAGTGATGATTTTTTTCCTGAGTGAGCAGATGTGGTTGAAGAGAAAGAATCAGTCGATCCTTGGGAGGAGAATTCGTCGGACTGGAACCAAGTGGATGTACAGAACAGTGTAGATGCATGGGTTCGGGATACACAACAAGGGGGTAACACGGACATCGAGGGGAGTTTGAAAAAAATAATAGGAACAAAAAACTTTCGGCTGTTGAATTCTGTGGTGAGGATACAGCAGCAGTTGTTCCCATCCAGCACAAAAGCATTGGAGGTCCAACTTTGGGGCATGATAATGTTGACCAAGATTCAAGACTAAAGGTGGATACATCTTCTTTAGGGGAACATGTGGGACTTGGGTTGAGGAAAGGAGTGGGCCTAGAATCTGAAGCCAAATTGGATGATAATTTGGATTCTAATACGCTTATGCAGAAAATAATTCCTGCAGGTCCTGTTTACAATTTAAAGTGGACTGCTGGAGGAAAAGGAGATATTATGGGCAGGTATATTCCACTGTTAAATAGGGAATTAAATATTCATGCTGGAGATGTGTTACAGGCAGAAGTGAAGTTAGATAAGGTACTTACAAGTGGGGAAGAATCTGAGGTGGAAATTGAAGTCCCAACCATGGAGTTCGTTAAAAACAAGCTACTGGAGGACAATCCAGATAACAGTGGAGATGTGAATCAAACAGAAAATTTAATGTTGGTTGGGTCCAATGCATCTAAAAAATGGATTTCTAGGGGAAGATCGGTTGACCGGTTTAAATCTTCTTCATCTATTAAGAGTGAACCGATGGAGAGGAGAAGAATTCTCAGTTTCAAAAGGGTGTATAAAAGGTCAAGGGAGAGAAGACACTGGTTCGGTGATCAAAGTGTAATTCCGAAAAAAGAGGGAGCTCTAGATAGGCACAAGGAGCAAAATTTGGACTTAAGTTCAGCTCATCCTGTCAATGCAGTAGCAGATTTTAATGTGGAATGCTGCGTGGAATCTACTATGAAGAGACATGAAGCTGACAGAAATTTGGATAATTTGTTTGAAGGGTGGCTTTCAGATGGAGACAACTATAACTTCAATTCCAAGACTATCAACAGAAGTGTTAAAAGATTATTGTTAAGGGATGCATTAGATCAAGTTAGCATTTCAACAGTTTCTTCTCCAGCTTTTTCGGTTTTTATGGAGGAAGCACTTTCTACTTGGGAAATTAGTAAGCTATTGGGGGTTTCT